TAATCCACTACACTCTGCCCCTGGCCACCCCCCAAACTCATGTCCTTTTCACATATAAATACATTCATTGCATTCCCAAAGTCTTGTTTCAACTCAAAAGTCTAAAGTTCAAAGTCCTATCTGTGAAATTCGAAACAAGTTGTTTATTTCCAAGATACAATGGTGGGACAAACATAGGGTACACATTCCCATTCCAAAAGGGAGAAATAGGCCAAAATAAAGGTGTAATATGTCCCAAACAAGTCCGAAACCCAGTAGGGCAGGCATTAAATCTCAAAGCTGGCGAATCATGTACCTTAACTCCATGTTCGACCTCCTCTGCTCGCTGGTATGGGGGTTGCGTCCCTAAGTCTTCAGACAGCTCTGCTCCTATGGCTTTCCTGGTCTCAGTTGATGCTTTAGCTCTCACAGGCTGGTGTTCCCCAGGTTCGGGGTCCATGGTGGTCTCGTTCTCATGGCTCCACTAGACGTGGCACTGATGGGGTTTCGCTGCTGCAGCTCTGATCCCACTCCTGGTACCAATTTTCTGTATTAGTCCATTTGTATTGCTTATAATGAAATACACAGAACTGGGTAATTTATAAAGAAAACAAGTTATTTTTATTTTTATTTTATTTTATTTATTTATTATTTTTCCTTTTTGTCTTTTTTCGTGTCTGGCAACGGACCGCAACCCTCAGTGTCACGCCCGTACCGGACCGGGACCAGCAACGGGATTGCAACCCTCGGCGCTGCACCCGCCCCTCGCTCAACCAGCGAGCGGTCTGTATGTGGGATCCGAACCCACGGCGGGAGCGCCCCCACGCTCCCAAGCGGCGCACTGTAGCAGTGCGCCACCGGGCCGGCCCTTATTTTTATTTCTTTTAAAAGATGACTGGTAAGGGGATCTCAACCCTTGACTTGGTGTTGTCAGCACCACGCTCAGCCATTGAGCCAACCGGCCATCCCTATATGGGATCCGAACCCGGGGCCTTGGTGTTATCAGCATCGCACTCTCCGGAGTGAGCCACGGGCCGGCCCAAGAAAACAAGTTATTGCTTACAGTTTCTGAGGCTGGGAAGTCCAAAGTCCACCTGGTGGTGGCAACAGTGACCCAGGGATCTCACATCACAAGATGGTGGAAGCAGAGAGAGCAGAGAGAGTGGACAGAGAGACCAAGAGAGACAGATTCTTTCTTTTTTTAAAGCCCTCAGAACCACGGCCCTGACCACCATTTTTAATCCATTCACTATGGCATGGTCCTACAATCCAATCACCTCTTCAAGGCCCCACCTTTCAATTACCATAACAGGATTTCCCACCATCTTAACAGTCTCAGTGGGGACTAAATTTCCAATACATAAAACTTGGGGGACACAATTCAAGCTTCAGGGAGTTTGCGGGGGACATAATTCAATCTACTACACCAACCTTCATTTTCTTTTTTTTTTTTTTGAGGAACGAGAACATTTTATCTGTGTATTCAGAATCATACATGAATTACTTTTACAGTTCAATTTACTGTATAGATATCATTCAGGTTTTATATTTTAGGTTAAATTGTGAACTGAGATTACAATTTGTAAGAAGAAAAAGGATTTTACAAAAACTCAGTACTTTTTAGGCCGCCCCGTGGCTCACTCGGTAGAGTGCGGTGCTGATAACACCAAGGCCGCGGGTTCGGATCCTATATAGGGATGGCCGGTTTGCTCACTGGCTGAGCGTGGTGCTGACAACACCAAGCCAAGGGTTGAGATCCCCTTACCGGTCATCTTTTAAAAAACAAACAAAAAACAAAAATAAAAACTCAGTACTTTTTAGCATACCAAATTGAAATACACAGGTTCAAACTTCAGATTTATGGCTGTCTTCAAATACAATACAGATATTTCTTATTAAGTTACCATATCATTTATATTTGATACTTGCAACTCTGAACTGTTTCACAAAGAACAGGTCTCCTATGGATACGGCAAAATTGATATGGAATGAAACCCAAGCCTGTGTACTCAAGCCAAGGACTCGAAGTCGTACCATCTTTAAAAAAAGGTTTGGTATTTCTGGACCACAGCAATGCACAACATGTAAGGAAGATAGGGATCAATTCCTCCTCCTTGTTATGATTTTTATTTTTATTTATTTATTTATTTATTTATTTTTATTGAATCATAATTGATTATACATATTTTTGGGATTCAATGTTGACACATGTTGATCAAATCAATATCACTAGTATATATATTGTTAAAAATCATACTTATTCTTTATGCCCCTTGTCCAATCTCTCCCCATCCCCCACTCCCTCCCCCGTCCCACCACTGATAACCCTAGATTTCTTCTCTCCCTCTGAATGAGTAATGGTTACTCTGTTGATTTGTTGCCTAGATGACCTGTCCAATGCTGAGAGGTGTGTTCAGATCCCTCAGTATTATCATAGAACAGATGCTTCTTCTGTCTCTGGAATGGGCTTTGTGAAGAGAGACATCCTCTTCTTTTCTTTGTTCCCTGATGGTGACTCTCCTTGTGTCAATGCACTCTAGTGGCTGGTGGACCTTCTGCATGGTGGTTGTGACATCTAGCCACTTTTGCGGCAGCTGTGGTTACTGTGGTGGCTGTGGTGGGCCACCCACATGGAGGTGATGTTTTTGGCATGCTCCTTGGTGCTGGCAGTGCGCCTGGTTGTGGGCAGGGGGTTGGTCCCTGGATGCATGCCTCAGGTCCCCTGGTGGTTCCTGAGGCACTGGCAGTGTGCCTGGGCATGAACTAATTTTTTGTCCTTTACTTACTTCTCAGATGGGGCAACTTCCTGTGGGAACCAGTACTTGAGCTGTGTTGTTGAGCTAAATTGCTGCTTTGCTGCTGTTTCCCTAGGGAAGACTTTTTGTGCAGCTCAGGGTTTAATGGTTGACCTTATAGGTACTTCCAGCTCTCCAGAAACCTGGTGCACCTGGGTTGTGTAGAAACTCTGACCTTGGCCTGAGTTTTTTCATCAAACTGCACCCCATGCAATTCTGCATTCCCGACCAGTCTCCTCTGAGTGGTCCTGTGCTGACTGGGGGGCAGATCAGCTGTCCTTGCTGTGTCCCAGTGTTCTCCTGGTGGGCCTGTCTTCCCCACCACCTGTGCTCCAAACACTTCCCATGGGATGGGCCCTCTGCCAGTCCCTTGTGATGACTCACAGGCCTCTGAATGGCTCCTCTTTTTCAGCTGTTCTGGCTCGTCACTCCTGTGTGGGTCTACAGGAACCCTGTTAGTGGTCTTGCTGTCCTGGGGGCCACCAAGGCCCTCTTCTCCCCTGCTGCCTCCAAGCAACTCCATCTGAAGGGCACAGCTACGGCTTCTTCCAGCTCCTGCTCCATGCACTCAGCAGCTCCAGCCTTAAAGCAGCCATGGCCCAAAATGCTCCAAGTAGATTTTTCTTTCTCTCATCGTGGCTTCTCCTACCTTCATGAACTCTGTAGGTCTCTCCTCCTCTTCCCCTGAGCTCCAGCAGCCACAGCTTGGTGGTTGTTACATTTTTATAGTTGTAAACTGGTTGATTTGTGGGAGAGAGTGACACTGGGGACTATCTATTCTGCCATCTTGATTGGAACTCCCTCGTTATGGTTTTTTAAAAGTTACATTGTAGCTTGGAATTTTACATAGAACTCCATATTATACCTTGGAAAAGCCCAAGGGCAATTAGATGACAATGGATTAGGATGTTAATTTTTTTATTAGTACAACCCATATTAAGCACCCGGTTTAAGAGACTGAAATTTGTTAGAGATTCATGATCAATGTCTTTCCAGCTTGAAATCAAGATATAAAAACCAGCTATTAAGTGCATTCCAAATTTCTTCTTTGTAGTGGGGGTAAAATTTTCCATCCATTGGCACCAGCCTTCCCTTCATTCCTTCCTTCGCAAATCGAGTGAAGTGGTGGAAATGGAGAAGAAAGAAACCTGTAACTAGCTGTGCTCCCAACCTTCACTTTCTTTGTAGAAATGTTACTGTGTAGAAAACGTTATGCTTCTGCTGACACATTTCCAGGTGGACTTGTTTTAGAAAATGACACGTGACCTTGTTTTGGCTACTGGCTGGTGTAGGGATACGAACTCTTCACCGTGGTGTCATAACACCGCGCTCTAACCAAGTGAGCTAACTGACCATCCAGAAAACGACATGTAACCTTGATACCATTTGACAGGCTGACTGGTGGGTCTTGGGGGGTCCCTGGGTAGCAAGGGGCAGACCTGGGCTTAAGGCTCAGCAGGTGAATCCAGGGTCATAGACTTGCAAGGGCCCTGGAGGGCTCTAGCTTCCCTGTCATTTTATTGATTGATTGGCGACGGGCCAGTACAGGTATCTGAACCCTTGACCTCGATGTTATAACACTGCGCTCTAACCAACTGAGTAACCGGCCAGACACTCCCCTCCCCACCTCCCCCGTCATTTTAAAGATGGAGAAACAGGCTGAGAGAAGGTAAGAAACAAACCCAGGGCATGTGATTGAGAGCATTACTCTGGCAGGAGCAGGAAGACTGAGGCCGTCAAATTCCATGGCGTGCAATCGGAGTGAAGCGAGTGGCCACAAAACGCTGAACATGAGCCCTGAGACTTTGCCACTTGCCGGCACCAAGGTCTCTGCGGTGTTGGGCTAAGAGGATGTACTCTAGAGCCAGATTTTCTGGGTCTATAATCAGTGCCTCAGCTCCCCCATCTATAAAATGGGGATGATAGGAAATTCTGACACAGGATGCAACGTGGATGCACCTTGAAGACATTATGCTAAGTGAAATAAGCCGTTCACAAAAGGACAGGAACCGAGGTCCCTCTGCGCATCCCCCGGAGGCGACCATCCCGTGGCCACCCCCTCGGATCCAGCAGGGGCCAGGCGGGCTCCAGCCCTTGGGACACGCCCCTGGCCCGCCGGCAATTGGACCAAAGTGCCCAGGCGCGGAGCCGGCCAATGGGGGGCGGCGGCCGGGGGGCGTGGCCGCGCTGGGCGTGGTCTGGGACCCGCGCCCCCGCAGAGTTTGTGTGTGTCCGGCGCCTGGCGACTCTGGTCCGTCCAACTCCGCCATGGGCCTGGAGCTCTACCTGGACCTGCTGTCCCAGCCCTGCCGCGCCGTCTACATCTTCGCCAGGAAGAACGGCATCCCCTTCGAGCTGCGCACCGTGGAGCTGCTCAAAGGTGGGCCCCGCCTCGGCTTTCGGGAACTGACTGATCGCGGAGGGGCCTGGAGGTAAACGTCACTTAGGGAACCCCTCTCCGCGCCATCCCCTTCCTGGTGCCATCGCTGGTCTGATTTGGAGACCAGGCCGAGAGAGGTGAGCCACCAGGGAGATCCAAGATTCAGGAGTCCCTCAAACTCTGCTCCATCCCACGGAATAGACAACGGGGTCAGCTGAGGCTGAATAAAGGAGTGGAGGCATGAATAGAGGAGGAGAGATGTGGCGAACAGAAACAGGTGCGACCTGGGCCTAGGGATAGTCAGGAGTCCCTCAAACTCTGCTCCATCCCACGGAATAGACAACGGGGTCAGCTGAGGCTGAATAAAGGAGTGGGGGCATGAATAGAGGAGGAGAGATGTGGCGAACAGAAACAGGTGCGACCTGGGCCTAGGGATAGAAGACCTCCGGATAGAGATGGGCCGGGGCGGGAGGAGAGGGGTCAAGGGGGCCACGTGTTGAGGGTCGAGTCCCTGCTTTGTGGCCTTCAGCTACTGAGATGCTACAACAGTAGACAGGCATTGCTCCAGAGACCTAACTTTGCAGCCCTGCCCTCTGCACTGGCCCAGCCTCCATTGGGGTCTCCCTTTGTTCCTTCCTTCTTTCTGCTCCTCCTGCCATGTCCTCTGCCTCTCTTGTTCCCGCTGGGGAGGGAGGCTGCCCACAGAACAAGCTGGGAGCAGAAGGGGGACCTCGGGGGCTTTGAGGAGCCCTGCACCCTGAGCAGGGGTGTTTGTTTCCCTGGCAGGCCCCCAAGGGCCTCAAGCATACAGCTGGCAGGCCCAGGACACAGCTGGCAGGCCTACACCTATCAGGGGTGGGGTGGTGGGAGCGTATGGGAAGCAGAACCCGGGTATTGCTGGATGGGCAAGTAGGACAGCTCTACTTGGCTGAACCTTCCAGCCAGCACTCCCCCCATCATGGTCAGCCCTTGCTTGCTGTTGTGCCTTTGCACTGGCCTGTCCCTCTCTCTGAAACTTCATCTTCTGCCAGTATGTTCTGGGGACTGCCCACTTGTCCTGCACAGGGGCTGTCTCTGCAGAGTGTGGGGCAGGGGAGAGGGCATGGGGGACTAGGGGACATCCAACCTGGCTGTCAAACATAGGGGTGCAGAGAGAGGCGTGTTTCAGTAGGAGAAGAGGGAGGATGGCCCTGGTAAAGGAACGGTCTGAAGGGAGGGTAAAGGGTGTGGTTGAGGCTGGAGGGTTGTGTGTGTGGCTTTGAGGAGTTTCTACCTGATCCTGGGGTAATGAGGAACCACTGAGAGCTGTGGAACAGGGCAGTGATGAGACTTAAGTGCCCTTAGAAGCTTCTTTCTGGCTGCATTTGCAGGAGCAGAAACCACTCAGACAAACTCAAGCAGAGGCCGGGGTCCCAGGGGACACTGTGCTGTACCTTTCAGGGGCTGTGGGTGGGGCAAGAAATGTGACTGTCCCAGCTATGGCAGAGCCTAAAGGTAGGGGCAGTTCTGTGTCCCCAGTGCCTGGGGCAGGGTGAGCAAGGCAGCACAGAGGGGCCAGTAGAAGTTGGTTACAAATAAATAGATACCAGGAGAAGGCCCCTTTTCTGTGTTTAGTGGTCCTGTGTTAGAGTCCATGGGGGGGAGGGGTGCTATAGGAAGTCAGAGCTCCACTAAGGTGACCTACCTCTGTAGCTGGGGATATTCCAAATGTGAGTTGATGAAGCTGGTAGTGATGGAAAGAGAAGGTGGGTGGGGTGCGTATGAAGGCCCAGTCATCACGCCTTGCACATTGAGCTTCTCCCTGTGGGGCAGGTTATACTCACAGGGACTCAGCGAGGGTTGTTGAGGTCTATTTGGCACCAGCTGGCAGAGCAGCCTCTCCCTCCTCCCACAGCAGCCCCCACCAGTTTTTGCCATTTGGGAGAGTAGCCTGGTGGGGAAACAGCCATGAAATTGGGATCTGGACATTGCAGGGAGTAGGCACAGGCCATGGAGGGTTTAGCATTCTCCTCTCACCAACCCCCCATGCTGGGCTTTCTGCAGGCCAGCACCTCAGTGACGCCTTTGCCCAGGTGAACCCCATGAAGAAGGTGCCAGCCCTGAAGGATGGGGACTTCACCTTGACAGAGAGGTAACTGCGACACTGGGGCTGCTGCCAGGCCCTGCAGGAATCATCCTGTCCTAATCCTCTGTTTTATAGATAAGGATACTAAAGTCCTCAGAGGTGAAGGGCTTCATCTGCCATGGGGGCAGCTCTCTGGCCAAGCTTATGTAAAAATGGCCCAGTAGCGTCTGGGCTGCCCAGTGGCTCCATCTCTGCACTGCAGCTTCCCTGGGTGGGTCTCCCCCATGGGAGAACCACAGACATGTGGATGTTTTACATCACAGCAGGTCCCAAGAAGTTGAAATCACTTCAGAGAAAGACAAACCTTTTCCCAGTTTCCCCCTTTGTTACCTGAGTGACCCATCCCATAACAAGGAGAACCTGGAGTTTGTGCTTTAGAGCTCAGCTTGGAAATCTTGGGATGGACGCACCCCTGAGGAATTCCTCTGACATTCTGCCAGTGCCGTTCTTCCTTCCTGGTGCCCCCTGGTGTCCTGAGTCCTTGTGTCTGCTTGTGTTGAGCACTCACGGGTACTAGCCAGGGGCAGTGTGCAATCTCTGCATTTCTCTGTCTCTTCTCTTACCCTCCAGAGGTCTGTGGCTCACAGGGACTGGCAGCCCTCCTCAGAGTGGCTTGAACAATTAGCTGGGAGCAAAGGGAGCTCCAGAGCACCCTGCATAGACAACTGAGTCCTTAATCTGGGGCATGGGTGCAGGATTCTCCAATAGGGATCATGGGCCAGTAGCAGATACAGAGGTGTTCCGCCCTTTTGGCTGGGGTGCACAACCCTTGGGATACCCCAAGTTCCTGAAAGTTTCTCTACTGTCATAAATTGACACATCCTCAGTGTCCTTTCAAGTCCATCCCCATCCCAACACTATGGCAGCCCTCATAACCCAGGGCAGGAGGAGAGCACCAGGGGCCCTTGTCTGTTCTGCTGTTTCAGGATCCTGCAGCATGCTTTAGGGAGCTCAACTACCTCAGTTGGTTTAGATAGGAGCTAATTCTTCACAGAAAGAATGGCATAAAGAACAAAGGGATGACAGGAAAGCCTTTTTGAACAATCAGGCTACATGCCACAGAATGAGAGTGGATGCACACTGGAAAGGACTGAGCTTCCTTAAGGTTCAGCTTTGACACCACCTCCTCTAGGAAGCTCTCTCTGGTCTTCTGATTGGAAATGGTCTCTGAACACATGGCAGGACACACTGCTGAGGGATTTTGCCTCATAGTAGGATGAGCTTGGGTGTTAGTCTCCAAAAGACTGTCAGCTCTGCCACTAGGGGCTGTGTGTCCTGGGACAAGTTCCTTCCCCTGTCTAAGCCTGGTTTCCTTGTCTGGAAAACGAGGCTAATACTTTGGCAGATTGTCAGGAAAATTAAAGAAGGTGTTCTGCATAGAGCCCTTAGCACAATGCCCTTCTCCCCCCTCCCCCCAGTGTGGCTATTCTGCTCTACCTGATGCGCAAGTATAAGGTCCCTGACTACTGGTACCCTCAGGACCTGCAGGCCTGTGCCCGTGTGGATGAATACCTGGCATGGCAGCACACGACCCTGCGGAGAAACTGCCTCCGGGCCCTCTGGCATAAGGTGAGGCTGAGGGGTGGTGAAGGCATCACCCCAGAGGGGCTCAGCCACCATGGAATTCTTCTTTTCAGTTTGGATAGTTTCTACTGACCTGTCTTTGATTTCACTGATTCTTCTGTTGTGCCTGGGTTGTTAATTCTTTACTTGATATATGTATTTTTCATTTCTAGAAATTCCATTTAGATGTTTTTTAGAGTTTCCATCTCTCTGTGAAATTTACCATCTGTTTGCCCATTTTGTCCATCTTTTCTTCTAATTTTTTTTTTCCTTTTTGTCTTTTTCCATGTCCGGCAACGGATCGCAACCCTCAGTGTCGCCCCCGTACCGGACCGGGACCAGCAACGGGATCGCAACCCTCGGTGTTGCTCCCGCGCCTCGCTCAGCCAGTGAGCGGGAACCGGTCTGTATGTGGGATCCGAACCCTCGGCGGGAGCGCCGCCACGCTTCCCAAGCGGCGCACTATAGCAGTGCGCCACCGGGCCGGCCCTCCATTAGGATTTTTTAATGGAGGGGAAAAGTATATTTCATCATCTACTTT